CCCCAAAACCCCAAAACCCCAAAACCCCGCTTATAAAAGCAATAATTTCCAGCAATGAAGCTTTAAAAAATCAAATTCAAATTATAAATTATAAATTAACAGTTTAGCAGAACTAAAATGAGCGTATCAACACCACAGTTTAACTTTAGACCATAGTAGCCTTAAAATAATAACTTCGGTTAATAAAACAATACAGGAAGTAATTAGTTTGGATAATAGTCTAATTCCGGATCCAACTAAACAACTTAGTTTAGGCCAACTGGATTCACTGGAACCTAAACAAACACAAGTGGATCAACTTCGGGCTTCTAATTCCGACCAATTGGGTCAGTTGGCACTTCATCATCAATTGGCTTTAATCCTTCTGGAAACTCTGGATAAGCAAATACCTCTACTGCTTTTAGACCGACTGGTTTTACAGGAACAAGTTTCCAAACAAGCACCTCAACCTCTGGTTTTAGACCTTAAGGGACTACAGGCTTTAACTTTAACAGCAGTGCTACTGGAAACACAACTTAAAATTAGCAATTAAATTTTCAGCAATAGATGCAAAGTAATCCCTATGGTTTGAGTTAGACTAACTAAGGTTTAAGCTTTTAAGCAAGACCAACTGCTCCAAATAACCAATAGTAAAACCAAATGTACTCAGGCAATGCTTAAAATTCACAGTTTTCATTAACTGGTCGTGACCCTATCCATGAAAATGAGATACTTTAAGAGTTCAACAGATTCCTCAAGTACTGTAGTCCCAATTCTTATGAAAATGTCCTAGCTAGTTACTTATATAACAAAGTACCATCTGACATTGATTCACATCATAGAGCTCAGTTTATACATTAGGCTCTTGCCTAGGAATATATGATGGGCCCTATCCTCAATAACTAGCAGTAGTTCTATCCTGTTTAGAGAGATATCATAAATGAAGGATAGTAGTAGAATCCAGATAAGGAAAATATCTACCCTATCTAGATCTCTACATTTTAAGAGCTTAAGCAAAGGCAAACAATGTTAAAGGAGCATTCTAAATAAATAATTGAGGAACTAAATAAACAAATGAAATAAACAGAGGATATGGGCTAAGGCTTTGTAGATCTTTTCTTAAATGATGCCCAAAAGATAAATTCGTAAAACACCAAGATAATTCTAAAATACTTTAAAATAATTTAGACAGTCAATACTCTTAGCTTACACGTGCGAGATAATCTTTACAGAAAGGGTGATAAAGTTGCACTTAAAAAGAACATACAAGTTATTAGTGACATGATAGACTCTTGCTTATTAAAATTGCTGCCTGAAAGCGAAGATGATAATGGCAAGTTAATCCAGAACTCATAGACTGTATCAATTGGCAAAGATCTAAAGTTAATGATTTAAGGAGTTAATAGCAAACTATTTAAGAAGTAAAAAGAGGTACAGTAGAAACTTATGAAAGAGGAATTAGATAAATATGAACAAACTGAGGAAGCGAAAAAGCTTAAGGACTCACTACTTAGAAGTATTAAAACCAATAATAAAGCTCTTGATGTGTTAGTAAAGTAATTTATAGAGAATAAGACCTCATTACAGATTATTTAGAATTATCTTGAAATGGAAGATTGATTGTGAAATCAGTAGAAAATAATTATTGAGATTATAAGTTTATATTTGATTTTTTATTATGATTTCTGATTGAATCAACAATATTTTGACAAAATGGGGTTTTGGGGTTTTGGGGTTTTGGGG